CCATCGCTACTAGAAACAAGAAGCTACTAGGTGGAGACAATCGCTACTAGTAACAAGAAGCTACTAGTTGGAGGCCATCGTTTCTAGTAACACGAAGCTACTAGGTGGAGGCCATCGCTGCTAGTAACAAGAAGCTACTAGTATTGCATATTAGTGGAGACGGGATGACAAGAAGTGCCCATGAATTCTTCAGCATCAATCGATGTTGGTCGAGAATTATCACACCAAAGTATATAGATGTATATAGTTAGACACCAAGGGAGAAGGAAATGATACAGTATGTGTTGGGTCTATCCTATTACCAGTAACACTGGATGATGGTTAGTATATAAAGGCCTTGTTCGACAATAGTGTACAGGTAATGGGACACACCCAAGATATATTTCCAGTCGCCCCCCAGCTCATCAGCCTGGCTGCCGGAGCAAGTCTGAACTCAAAGCCATGGTTTGAGAGCATCCAAGTGCCATTGCTGGAGCCCCCCCTAATGGCTTCTGTATGCTTCTGTTCTTTTGCAGCAAAAGAACAAACTCCCTCAAACGCGCAAAGAACGCCCACCCTCATCCTCCTATCTGTTTGAAACCAACCGTCCGCCATCACCTTGTCCAAGAACTCGTGCTGCTTTGCGATGGCTGGCGCCTGCGACCGGTGGAGGGCCGAGCGACACCGCACGACGAGCGGCGCGCCGAGCACAGCGCGGCGAGCACTACGCCGTGACCAAACGAGAGAGGTAGACCGAATGTAGACGGTTGATTAATACAAGACATATGAAGCTGTAAAACTGTTTCATGTCTCATGTCTTTTCAGGCTTTTTCAGATGAATCAGGATTCAAGATTGCCGCATCAGGCGGAGAGCCCCAGTCGCGAAAGGCGATGCTTCGTTTCCGCCCGTATTCCTGCTATGGATGGACCGGGCAGAAACTTCATGAGAGGATCTTGAAAGTGTGTTAAGTGAGAGGTTCCCGACTGTGACTCCAATACATGGTACTGGGTGCGTTGCGATGATGTGCATCACGTTGCATCCGTGCTGATCTGTCTTTTTGTGGGAATTATTGATGGAGCAGGTTTCTGAATGCTTTCTTGACTGGTGGCAGAATGCTTTCTATTTGGCTCACGTGCGGATTCGTCCGGCATTGGCGAACTTCGCTCCTGAAAGCGATTAGTTTCAAAGCGATTGAAACCGAGTGAGTTGAACCAAAATAAAGCGATTGTTTCATGGCAAATGCTTTGCTTCTCACACTGCATGGGGCTTTGGTGTGTTCATTCTGCGCCTTGAGGACATGGCCTTTTCCGACGATCAGTCTGCGAATGTTCACTTGTCATTGCCTCTATTTGCCATGTGTCTTGCCACGACAGTGGCACACGCTTTTACCTTTATCAATTGAGTGTTTTGGTGCATTGTCTTTGTACGCCTGACTTTGCGGAGTGCAAGTGGCCTGCAGTACTCTGGAACTGGTGTCGCTGCTTTTGTGCCTAATGATTTCTTGTTTTGGGATGATGTATATACAGTAATGATCAGTAATGGGTCAGTGTTTACTTCAAAGTGAAATCTTGTGCATGCTCTTGACCGTTGATATTTAGCGGCCAAACCAATGTCCTTGTTGCACTTTTCTTGTGCATGTTTTTTCTGCCAGCCCAGCGCCAAGGTAGCTATAGATTTGAGGAGGTATGCCGTATGTTGCGCTCTCCACCTCTTCAACGTCACTGGTGAAGAGCAGCGACGAAAGTGCTCTCTTTCAGATGGTGAGGATTTGGCAAATGTAACAGTTAGATGCATGGCGGCCACTGGTTTCGACCATACGAGTGACGGCCGACGGTGAGACGAACCGAGTGCTCTTCCTCCATGTGGATACCACCTAGATGAGGAAAATTAAGAAATACCAGGTCGATGAGGTTTAATTAATACTATATATATATATCATATATTGATGATATCTGATATATTGTCATATTATAACTACTGAGTTGTATTTAAGATAGATCAAAAGGACGTATAACCACTTTT